CCCCCCCCCCTGCCGCGGTCCCATATATGTGTCGCACTCGCTGCGGAGGGCGCGCCGCCTTTCACTAACCTCCTTCCCCCGGCCGGCGCTTGCCAGGCGAATACTTCTCCGGCGAGAAGGCCCTCACTCGCGTGGAGAAGAATGCCAACCTGCAGGAGTGGTTCCTCGGCCTGGCGCGGCAGATCGAGCTGATGGACCCGAGCAACGCCACGGCCTCCGGACGCTTCATCGACCAGCTAATCAAGGCCATTGACCAGGTGCTGGAGCTGCACCAGCTGGACACGGACCTCACGGCGCGGGCCTTCATGATCGAGACCAAGCACGCCATCGTGCAGATGATGCGCACCATCAACATCCGCTCGGACATTCTGACCACCATCGAGGTGGTGGCCGATGTGTCGTACATCTGGGGCGCCATCGCCTTCCGTTTTGTGCCGATCTTCCAGGACTTGACCAAGCGGTGCGGACCTGCTTCTTCCTCTCTCTCTCTCTCTCTCTCTCTCTCTCTCTCTCTGCCCCTCCTCTTTGCTGCCCCTGGGTCCCTGCTTTGGCTCCTAACTCCGTACATGCACCTCCTTCTTCGCTTCCCCTCTTGCCCATGCACACGTACACGCGCGCCACAGGGCCCCCTCCACCGTCATCAAGCTGCGGGCCCTCTTCCTGAAGCTGGTGTCCATCCTGAGCAAGCCGCTGGCCCACATCGAGGAGACCAAGAGCTCGGACATTGTATCCGTGTCGGAGTACTACTCCGGCGAGCTGGTGGAGTATGCGCGCAAGGTCCTGCAAGTCATCCCGCGCGAGATGTTCACCCTGCTGCGGCAGATCGTCGAGCTGCAGACCACCCAGCTCCGGGACGTGCCAGTGCGCCTGGACAAGGACATCCTCCGGGAGGCGGCGCAGCTGGACGAGCGGTACCGCCTGGCCGGGCTGACGCACTCGGTGGCCGTCTTCACCGAGGGCATGCTGGCCATGGAGCGCACCCTGGTCGGTGTGATCGAGGTGGACCCGAGCGAGCTGCTGGAGGAGGGCATCCGCCGTGAGCTGGTCGACCAGGTGACCCGCGCCATGAACCAGGCGCTGGTGTTCCCGGCGCCTGGGCACAGCAGCCGCAAGCTGGACACCTTCGATCGGACCATGCTCAACCTGCGGGTGCATCTGAATGGCTTCCAGCGGTCCTTCGAGTGTGCGTGTGCCCCGTCTCCCGTGTCGTCTTCGCCGCCCCTCGGTGTTCCCCTGCTCCTCCTCCTCCTCGCCCGGCCGGCATGTGCCCACACACGCGCCTGTCGACATTCGCGTGCACTCACACACACACACACACATATGCTTGTCCCCCCCGCCCTCCCCCCCCTCTGCGGCCCTCTTTCCCCTCTTTTTTCCTCCCTGTCGCCGGCCCCGCCGCTCGCAGACATCCAGGACTACCTGAACATCTATGCCTTCCGCATTTGGCAGGAGGAGCTCTTCCGCATCATCCACTACTACGTCGAGCGCGAGTGCAACACCTTCCTCCGGAAGCAGATCTCCTCCTGGGACTCGATTTACCAGTCGCGCGAGATCCCCATCCCGCACCCGGACTCCACCCTGCCCGGGCCGGATGGGTATGCACCCCCGCGGCCACACAGGCCCCATGTCTTCCCCCCCCCCC